AAAAATTTGAAAAAATCTAGATTTGTTATATTTGTCTTCTTCACGGTTTTTATCATTTTTTTTTCTAAGTACAGACATTCGACCTCTACAGTTTTATTATAGTATAGATATGTTTTCCAAGTTTTCATGCACATATCCAGCGTTCTAGTAGTAATTACTCTTCCGCACATTACTAGACCCAATATTACTCCCCATCAATCAAAACTTTAATCACCTGTTAACTATTCAAGAAATTAAAGCTATTCAAAGCTATGTAAACATATTCTATAGAACCGACATTATTAAACGTAAGCTCCGAATATTTTGAATGCTTATAATAAATGAATGCATACTCAACGAGTCCCGTTGGGGTCCAGTTGGTACATTGTGTTGGGGGTCCGAAAACACACAGATGGCAAATACGCCAGACATTTATATTTACTAGTTCAGCCAGTAGTATAAATTTGACCATATTCATGATTGAAAATCTATAAAATAATAATGAACATTTTGTCTTTACCTATCTATATAATAGAATAACTTTTCCTTTATTATATATAACTGTTTATATTTATAATATGTATGTATTTAAAATTATATATGTATCACTCGTAATCACCTGTTTATAAGCAGGTGATGTGGATAAAGGTGAAATCATTTATCATTAATTGAAATTTGTTAAAAAGAATAACCTATGAATTCAAATCTTACTGAATATTATAAATGTGAAAATTTAGATGTTTGGATGTTTGTTACTCAATCACGCCAGAATAGCTGAACGGATCTGGATGAAATTTAGCACAGAGATAGATTATAGTCTGGAATAGCACATGGCTACTTTTCATTTAGTAAAAATGTACGGTTCCCGTAGGATAGATAGATTGGTTTTTGTTGTTCGTTTTGTAGATGCAAACCCGAGTGTAGCTAGGGTGAGACGCTAGTTTTAAATAATGTTTTCTATTATACCTTCAGGTATTATATTGAAATACCCCCCCAACGTGCGTTCATCTTGTCGTGGTGGGGGGGCTCAGTAGTAGTAGCGAAGCTAAGAAACGCACAGGGAGGTTGCTCACTTCGGTGGGCGGTGGGAGGTGGCTCTCTTCGGGGGGCGGTGTACCTTGCGGGTTGCTCCTGGTACTTCTCTGATAGCAGAGTGGACCTTGGAGCAACCCCATGGTTGTGGTGGTCTGCTTTGGCAGACCTGCCGTCGGGGCGTCGTAGTTGAATGCGTAAGCGATCCTGCGACGCCCCATTATGACGGGGGAAGGTTTTGTTGGGTTTTAGTGGGTAGTACTGGCTGTATTACGCCGGTGAGTCCCACACGTCGTGCGTAAATGCATTTCCCAACGTTAAAAAAAAAATTATATTGAAAAAGTTAAATGAAATTACACGACGTACTACGTCATTAAATGTCACGAAACGGAAAATAACGGAAATGTCAATCATAACGTAAAATTCATATACATTTCCATCCAATGACAACGGTTCATATAAAATACATGACTCATAACACAACAGTATCATATTATTGAAACCTATACAGATTTATTGGGTACAGTATTTTACTTAGTCCCCGTTCCGTTATAATCATTAAATTAAACTCGTGAGAGATCGTATTTAATCAATTTAACAAACAGAAACCAGTAGCGTACCAAATACATATTCATATGGGTCCATGAATTTCAGAGCGCGATTAATTTAAAATCGCCATCTGTATCCACAATGTCTTATGAATAGTAATAATATTTAATTAAATACAGTATATAATACATACTATACTTTGATATAGAGATAAAAATATATTTCAATTTCGCTACTTTCCCTCAATTTGAACTCCAAAATGGAGGAACTACTGAATTTTAATTTTTATTCTCGAGATTGCTTACACTTTAAGGGGTTCTTATAAATTTCAAAGAAAAATTTCACGCGTGATTATCGTATGGTATAGTTACTTTTAAAGGAATTTGAAGTCGATGTACATTTTTTAATTATTTTATTTATTTGGTTTATTTACTATCCCAATAATACACACAAATATAAAAAGCACAGTTTAGATGTAACTTAAACTCTAATCAACTTAAAAATATAATCATAATCATAATTAATAAATAAATATGTTGGGTAATTAATACACAGCGCCATATAGTTCTATGTTAAGCTACGAGGCTTGTGTTATGGATACCAGATAGTTACCACTACACATATATAACTTTAAATATATACATATTATAAATATAAACACCATGAGCATGACTGGAGTACAAACATTCGTGCTCATCACACAAATGAATGCCCCCAGCGGAACCGAACCCGCGACCGCTGGCACTGCAAGGATCACTACAAACTGAGCTAAACGTGTCGTCAACAAACAATAATAGAATTATAAACATCATATAAAAATCAAACTTGAAATATCCGATTATAATATAGCTATGATTTAATATACCATAGCCAACTATGAGAGCTTGTCAATACTGTAGATAACAATATCAATAGAACAAATAAATAGAACTGTCTCTCACCTTGTCATTTATACTACCGCGTCTTTGTGGCGAATTAAATGAAGATCTTGTTTGTGTTAGACTTAAGCGGATTACCGCTTAGTTATTGTTAATATGTGATCAGAGCTTATGATAGTTGATGATAAACATTTTTGTCTATATTTTCAGTGCTCGTCATTTAGCATTAGAGTTTCTGACACGGGGTACTGATCTTTATTATAATAAAATTCTAACTAATCGAATCTGTACTTTAAATATTTTTTGGAAAATCTTATTAAAATAGTCATTATTATGGATACAGAGGCCGAATCTATAGTTTTTAGAATTTTTGTCTGTCTGTCTGGGAACGCATCACGGGAAAATCACAGGATTTTGCTGAAATTTGGTATAATGATAGCTGGTTATCCGGGTCAACATATAAGATACTTTTTACTGCAGGAAAATATCTCATCTCCGAGAAATCTACACTAAACTTTAAATCGTAATTAGGGATGAATACGAGCGGAGCGATAGTGAGTCGCTGGTCAACTACATAATTTGACTCTGACTGCTTGATCTTCTATGTTGAGTAAAAACGATCAATTATTATACAACTTAATCACAAATATATCCAACATTGGAATTTTGTGTTTTTATTTCAATCTCCTGACAGATTTAGGCCACAGCGAATAATACACAAGTATGCCTGTAAGCATACATATGTTAGTGCACTCTCTATTCCTTTCATTTTTAAATTCCATTGGGAGCACAAGTCACAACCGGTGAGAGATGAGGCATAGGATCGACAGTTTTACGTATTCGGCTAGGTACGGAGATGTAAAGTCGAAAATTTTCCAACTTCGGGCTGTTACCGAAAAATTCTTGACAGAAGAACTCGCTAACTATGCCTAGCACGACCCGGGATCCGAGTATTAACCACTATACAAAAGAAGCAGTCAAACAAGTCTCATACATATATCCACACTTTAATATTATAAATATGAAAGTGTGTTTGTTTGTCCTTCTTTCACATCGAAACGGAGAAACAGATTGGCGTGATTTTTAGTGTGGAAATAGTTGGAGTGCTGGAGAGTGGCATAAGTTACTTTTTATCGCGGAAGATTATCTTATTCCCACAGGAAAACACGTTATAATACAATCTGAAAAAATATATATGATTCGAATTACTTAAAACTTGTATTAATGATCTTCAATAAAATTAAATAAATACGTGTGTTAGCATTTTTCGAAATTCATCCTATAAGGGGGTAAAATAGGGGATAAAAGTTTGGATGAAACTACCTTTTTAGAGATTTTTTTTCAGTTTTAGAGCGAGCGAAGCTGCGGGTTCTGCTTGTGTACAATAAAAACGTGACAGTGTAAATCTTAAAAAAAAATATCTCCAAAAGCAGATTAAGAACAGAAAGCTTAATCAAAAATTTTGAGTCTTTTTTTTATCATGCATAACTCAAAAAATACTACTCGAGTTTGATATCCATTATTAAATTTTATGAACCAAACACATCTAAGTTTATAAAGTCAGTAAATACAAGGATATAATTGGAGCGTACCTCTCTAAGCGGTGCCATACAAAGTGAATATAAATTACACGTGTGGTTGAAGCCGCAAGAAACACCTACTTATACTAACGTGTTAGTATAAAGTACCAACACATCAGACTTACAAAATATAATTCAAGTCTACTCATTTTTTCACCAAATTTTGAATCATAAGAGATTTTCATATGAGATATTTTATACTCGGGAATGTGAATTTAGTACTTTTATATTTCCATAAGATGTTAACTTATTGTATAGAAGTACTTAAGACCTGAACAAAAACTCCTATTATAAATGCGAAAGTTCAGATGTTGTATGTATGTATGTATGTATGTTTGTTTGTTTGTTACTCCTTCATACTGGAGTATCTGGACAGATTTGGATGATCACAGTTACACTATGACATGGAATAATAGTAGCTTATGCTACTGTAACCTGTACCTAGGAATACACTCGAGCGAAGCGCGGGTATATCGCGAGTGTACTCATAATTTTATACACTTATCTAATATATAATCCTCCAGAAACATTAAAAATATCATATTACTAGCATTGCCCGCGGCTCCACCCGCGTTCAGATGACGAAAAACCAAATTCTTAGGTTTTACATATTAGTATACTCTTACATTGCAGTTTTTGTATTTTTTCTCAGAAATTATACATTTTCCTACGGTAAAAAGTATTCTATATGTTGACCAAAATAATCAGCTATCACCATACAAAAATTTCATCAAAATCCCTCCAGTGGCTTTTCTGTCACAACAAAAACACAGACAGACAAGAGAGACAAAAATGCTTAAAACTATAAATTCGGCCTCTGTATCGATAATAATGTTTATTTCAATAAGATTTTCCAAAAAATATTTAATGTACAGATTCGGCTTAGTTACAATTTTATTATATGTATAGATAAGTACGAATTTATCTTAAATTAGTTAATTAAACTATTTAAACATTATTAACATTATTATTGTTTTAACAGGAAATGTGTTCGTCATAGCAGCGATTATAATAGAAAGGAATCTGCAGAACGTCGCGAACTACCTCGTAGCTTCTTTAGCGGTGGCCGATCTGATGGTCGCCTGTCTCGTCATGCCTTTGGGCGCTGTTTATGAAGTAAGTTTTGTGTTCCTTTCTTTATACTATGGTTCCTGTCTTTATAATAATATTTTATATATATATATATATATATATATATATATATATATATATATAAAGTATACTTTTTAGGCTATCGCATGGCTATCACTAAAGACTATAGTCTTTTTCTTTTAAACCAACTCTCCGTCTATCTGTCTGTAAGATCGCGATAAACTCAAAAACTACCAAACGAATTTTCATACAGTTATAATTATGGGCGAAGTGGTACGTGAGGAAGGTTTAGGTGTATAATTCATTAATGTTTTGTGTAAATTGGCTGAAATATAACGATGATCGTTGAAGACGTCGTAAAAAATTAAGCGTTTTGAGAGTTTTTCTGGTGTGCACCGTGTAAACTAATAGAGTTATATGAAAGTAATGTATTGAGGAATTATTCTTCTTAAAAAGATTTATTAAACTATAGCAACGCTACTTGTACGTGCACTACATAATACGTATTGGGGATGTCATTTACCCGCTAATTAAACGGCTGATTAAGCTAGTTGGCTGCATCATATACTTCATATTCAACAAGTATACATAAATGCGTCTAAACGCTATTGATATATTAGGACCCCACGCCTCAACACCTCCAGGTAAATTTCTAAGAAATTAATTAAATTTCTAAGAAATCTATTGCTAACTGTAACGCCGGCGTGTCCGCGGTCGTGGAGCGACTAATAGATGGATATCTCGCTAATTTAACTTAATATATTTTTGATGAGAGATAAATAATAGCATATACGACCATTAAAAGCTCGTAACGTTAAAAAAATACTCACAATCATAACGGATGTGCGTGCCCACATATTTTATCATCACATTTAATTATAGAGACCTTGTAGACAGTAGGCAGTAGTGGAAAACCAAGTGAAGCGGGTTCCAATTCCGGGTGTCGTACCTCTGATATTCTCATATACGAATCTTTATAACATGATTACTTGACTTGCCTTAAGATGAATAAAAACATCGTAAGAAAACATGCATTTCTGATAGAACCTAGCATGTTATCGAATAACATGTGAAATCCGCCAACTCGAATTTGACCAGTTTGTTGATATATGGCCTGACCCAGAAGGAAGGGAGGCCCGGGGTTAACAGTGGGTTGTTTAAAAAAAGGGCTGTATATATACATACATACATACATTCACTTAATTTCACAGCATATAAAGGTATTAAATAATACAACAAATCAACAGGTCAGTCAAGGATGGATCTTGGGTCCTGAACTCTGTGATATGTGGACTTCTAGTGACGTACTCTGCAGTTCTGCTTCAATACTTCACCTAGTTGCTATTGCTACTGATAGGTAAGATTTAAATAATTACATAAAAGCTAAGTTTCCAGTTTTACTCTAATAAAACTATAAGCTTTAATTAAAAAATAAACGACCCTCAAAATAACAATAGAAAAGCCAAATTATAAAAGTTCTAAAACTCGAGGTCTATAAAGTTTCAATTTTCATCAAAAATCGTGAATACTTGAAATTTTTAAAAGCAATATTCCTACAAAATTAAATGATACGTTATCAGACAAGTTTATTGTTTTATATTTCTTTTTAAGGTACTGGGCTGTGACAGACGTAGACTATATTCATATAAGAAATGAAAGACGCATCTTCACAATGATTTTTCTGGTGTGGGGAGCCGCTTTGGTAGTTTCTCTCGCACCTCAATTGGGATGGAAGGATCCCGATTATCTAGCAAGAATAACCCAACAACAAAAATGTCTCGTGAGTCAAGATCTTGCTTACCAAATATTCGCGACGTGTTCAACCTTTTATGTTCCCCTCGCGGTCATTCTGATTTTGTATTGGAAGATATTCCAAACTGCTCGAAGACGTATACGAAGGAGACGAGAACCTCCTCCTCCAAGGCCGACATCAGCAGATGGGGCTCCACCTTCCGGAAGGCCAATCCAACCAGCCAGAGATAGACGATTTGTAAAGAAACGATTTCTCAATCTAAAGAAATGTAATCAAAGAACTCGTGCTGAAACGCTAGCAGCAGCCCTTTTGCTTACTGAAGGTCAGAGTACGTCAACTGTAGATACCCTAGACGAAGAGCCTCGTACAACAGCGTTTACGATAAATGAAAAGGTGGTTCCTCCATCAGTTTCTCCAGAAAAGTCTTCCTCTACCGTCACGAACGGGTCAAAACAAGAACGAACTATCGTGCCAGGACCTTCTCACAAAGAAAAGAAAGAATCTCTCGAAGCTAAAAGAGAAAGGAAAGCTGCCAAGACGCTTGCAATAATCACAGGCGCCTTCGTCTTCTGCTGGCTGCCGTTTTTTATAATGGCATTAGTTATGCCAATATGCCAATCGTGTGTGATCAGCGACTACCTCGCAAGCTTCTTCCTATGGCTTGGGTACTTCAACTCGACCCTTAATCCAGTTATTTACACGATATTCAGCCCCGACTTTCGTCAGGCATTCGCCCGAATACTTTTCGGCACTCACCGGCGGGGTCGTAATAAAAAATTCTAACGAAAATGTCATTACTACGTGTATACCTGAGTACATCTCAGATGGACTATATTTACCCTCTCTTTGTATGATATTTCGGCTTTCTGTATGTTATACATACTTTAACGTCTGTAGCTAGTGTAAATAATTAACTTAGTTGAATTGTAAATAATATAAAGATATATACATACGATAGCAATGTTGAAAGTTGTTTTTTATAGTTTATGTAGCCGCGACGGCGTCGCTCGCGAGTCCTAAGCGTCACCGCCGCCCGCTCTTATGTTGTTTCCAGTGACATTACGAAATAAATATTCAAATTATATCACATAAAGGACTTTTATTATCTGCCTTTATAGATGATCGTTAAAACCATACGACCTGCTATTTTCAGTACTTTGGCTCTGATAATGGATAGAAATGATAATACGAATATGGTAATTGAATCATTTGCACCGTAATTTATTTATTGAATTTTTTGTATAAGATATTTTGTATTTATTTATTTATTTAATATATTGTTTATTTTCATCAGGAGAGAAGTTAAGGTGTTATTTCGTAATATTAAAAATAGATAAATGTGTATAGTTTTTACTAAAAAAGTTTTAGTTATTAGATATTTATTTTTAATCACTTTCTCGTATAATATAATAGAAAAACAAAAACAAATCTATCCCACGGGGTATCGTACATTTTACCGGGATAAAAAGTCTATGTGTTATTCCAGACTACAATCTATCTCTGTACCAAATTTCATCCAAATCTGTTCAGCCGTTCTGGCGTTGAAAGAGTAACAAACATGAATACTCACAAACTTTTACATATAATATTTATACAGATATACAGATAAGATACCTTACTAATACCTTTTTGATAGAGTTAATTAAATGACACACGTCACATACCTTATAAATATAATGTAATTATGTATTGATTGAAGCCATCAACGAGAGAACTGAATTGAATTAGACATAGAAAATTTGATTTATAAGGATATCTAACAGAAATGTATGCATATATACACATATAATCTATAAATATTTTATAAAACCGGAGTGTTGTTTCCGATTGTTCCAGTTATAATCGGAATAAGATTACAATTATAAATTTATTCATAATTTAAAATTTTGTTATAATGTGTGGATGTTTGTTGCTCTTTCACGCTGAAACAGTTGAACAAACACACATGTAACCTTTCACATAAATTATAATAGTAGTCCCAATTATTTAGGTCGGAAATCAAAGACCACGCTACGACATGGAAAAAAAGCAATCTATTCTAACAGTAGAGAAAAAAATTGTTTTTTGTTTGTTAGTATCCAATAGGCTCCGAAACTACTGAACTGATTTAGATAAAATTTGGTAAGAAGATAGTTTGAGACCCTGAAAAGGACATAGGATAGTTTTTATCCCGGAAATCATCCCTTAAGGGGGTGAACATTGGGGTGAAAGTTTGTATGGGGACGAACCCGAGCGAAGCGAGGGTGAGTCGCTAGTTATACATCTACGAGAAAAGGGCCACTGGCAAAAGCTACTGAACTTATAACATCGTATCTGTTACCATCAAAAGCAATTTCTCCCAAATTAATCACAGCAGCGAAGAAAAAATTACAATCGCAGTAATAACAACGTTTCTAGTTATCAGTATTAACGTTGGGAAAGTAAAACAATAATATCCTCAATCAATTATTTTCTACCAACAGTAGTGTATATAAGAAAAATGTAACGCAATAACTCAGTTCTCATTGTGTATTTTCAGTCGTAGCTTTATTCTATACTAGCTTTTACACGCAGCTTCGCTCGCGCCAACTTTGATTTTCAAAAGCTTTTAAGAACCCCTGAACCCCTGAAGGGGTTATTTTTGAAAAATAACACGAATAGCACTGCGAATTTCAATTTGATATATGATTTCTTCATACAAATTTTCACCTTTTCACAAACCCGTTCTTAGCGGATGCCCGCATAATAACTACATTATCTGTGAGTCAAATTTCAACCCAATCCGTTTAGCGGTTTGCGTTGATAGATCAGTCAGTCAATCAGTCAGTCACGATTTCCTTTTATATATATAGACTACGGTTCTCCTTCAGCTCCGCCCGCTTAATTCAGTTGTATATAAAATATACTTAAAAAATATAGTATATATGTTACTTTGATGTATAATATTACAGTACAGTTTCATCAAAAACTTTGTGTTTTTTGTGAAAGAATAACAACATACATCCATTCATATATCCAAACATTTACATTTATAATATTAGTAGGATATCTTATTTCAAAATTCCACAAATGATAAACAAAGCCAGATATAAACGGAAAGTCTAGAATCTTACATTTCCACTACTATTATAAAGAGGAAAGATTTGTATATTTGTATGTTTGTAATGAATAAACTCAAAAACTATTGAACCTGTTTAGATGAAATTTGGTAAGAAGATAGTTTGAGACCCTGGGAATGACGTAGGATATTTTTGATTTCGAAAATCATCCCTCAAAAGGCTGAAAAGTGAAAAGGGGGATGAAAGTTTGTATTGTGAATCAACCTAGGGACGAACCGAGTGAAGTGAGGGTGAGTCGCTAGTGCCTATATATTTTTCGTAAGAAAGCCATATAATAAAGCGTAGCCTCCGTTTCTTTGAATATAGCGGGTGATTTAAATTTCACTAACCGGCTTCAATTTTCTCCAAGATTAATCCTACACGTATTGGTAGTATACATGTTTATAACACAATATTACATTGTGAAAAAGTAATATACGCTTCTATCTAAATTTCATTGAGGGTAAAATATGAATATATTTATCTAATAATTTAATACTAAATTATTTTTTAACTGTACGAATAATATATTATTAATAATACAATTACCGTACGACTAATATTATATTTATTAGTCCGGATATTGATTATTAAAATATATTTTTTTATATTTTTTATTACATAGAAATAAATAATTATATATGACACATAAACCAGTAACGTTTCCACTTAAAAATAGTTCAGAAATTTAGCAGTGACAGTAAAAAAAAAACAAAAAAATTAACAATATTGGAAAAACAATATGAAGAGAAGATTATTATTATTAGTTTTAACTAGAACTGATCAATAGCAGTTCTAGTTAATACCAATAATAATATTATATATTTATCTTATTATTTTATTTAACTAAGTTACGCTTCGCTCCCACCTTAATTTTCTCAACCTATGTTATCCAAGTCGGGGTCTGTCACATAATAAATAATTAAAACTTACAAATAAATAATAATATAATATTTTATCCAGATGCTCTAAATTTAAATTAAAAAAAAAAACAAAATAAGGTAGGTGGACACATATTTATAATATATTAGTCGTACAGTAACTGGATTAATAGTCACTTAATTATTTTTAATCTACAATAATTGCACTACTATACAAATACATTTTTATGTGTATGTGTATCTGTTACTATTTCAAGCTGAAACGACAGGATGGATTTTAATAGAATTTTAATACACTGATAAATTATGAGCTGCAGTAACACATAGGCTAATATTTATTTTAATATGTATATAATGTTCGTAGACATGAAAAAAAAGTTAAACTTGTGTTTAACAATTAAATAACTATAAAAATAATTATTTTACATTTATGCCTACAATTTTATCTTGAAACTTGTATGAAACGCTCTTAAGGGACATCATTAATTCTTGAGAATATTTAAATAATAATAATGTCATCCCGACAGATTTCGGTCACGGCGGCCAATCTCATTGAGACTTGCCAGCTGCTCAGGAAATATTATAGAGCACAAGTATGCGCGCAAACACAAGTGCACTCTCTATTTCTTTCACTCTCATACTCCGGAGGGTCGACTACTCGACACTATCAGTGACAGTTAAACCGCAGGACCGACGGCTTTACGTGCTCTCCGACACCGCCAACTTCCCAACTCCGGGCTGTTACGAGAACCATCCATAACAGAAAAACTCAATAACTAAACTTGAGAATGACCCGGGATTCGAACGCAGGATCTTTTTCTTATGTTTGGTGGCTACTTACTAAGACAATTTGAAACAAATAAGGTGACGACTATACGTTATATTACGTATAATAGTAATTAAAAACAAAATATCAAGTACACTCAACGTCAAATTTAACTTTCTTCAAAACTCCATACTAAATTAACTTTAACAAGAATGTAAAATTTGAAAAAGTTTGAATATGACATCATTAAAAGTTTCAACTGTAACGTCTTCTAGAAATCTATACATATAATAAAATTGTGACTCAGCCGAATCTGTACAATAAATATGTATTTTTTGGAAAATATTATTGAAATAGACATTGTTTTTAGAATTTTTGTCTGTCTGTCTGTCAGTCTGTCTGTCTGTTACCGCATCACAGAAAAACCACTGGAGGGATTTTGATGAAATTTGGTCTGGTGGTAGCTGGCTATCCAAGTCAACATATAGGATACTTTTTGCCGCGGGAAAATATCTCATTTCTGAGAAAAAATATAAAACTGCCAATGTAAGAGTATACTAATATGTAAAACCTAAGCGGGCGGAGCCGCGGGTAATGTTAGTAAAATATAAATGAAAATATAAGTAGCTTCACAGCTTAGGTGTAATGACGGAATAGCTTTCCGTTTTCTTTTTTCATCTGCTCGTTGAAGCATATTGGCTAGTTCAGATCGTCTTACTTTTGTATCATAGTTTGCACCCACCATAACTTTTTGTTGCGACAATAATTTGTCTCTGTCTCCTACTGACGCTTAGGATGCGCTTACTACAATTGTTACCAAGAAAATGTCCACATTTAAGAAATGGACTTCAAAGAGATTTGAAGAATGCAGAAGAAAAAAAAATAATAGTAATTTGATTGTGAATTACAATAAATATTTTATCAGCTTTAGAATCGGGTACAGTAAGTACAGTCTAGTCGCCGTACAGTACCCTAAGGTCATTGAACCAAGAACAAGCGACGTCCAATACGAGCACGAATTCGTGTAGTGTGGATCAGCTGAGGAGGCTTGAACGA